ACTAACTCCACGGAACCTAAGTCCGAAATACAACAATCAAAGGAAGAGAAATCGGGATCACTATACGTCCCTCGGGTCATCCGGCCGATCGACCAGCAGGTCAACCACCTGGTCCTCCCACCTCTTCCGGCTTTATCTTTCGGTTTTCCATTTCTTCCTTAATGGTTTGAACCTACCGGTCCTCCCCTCAACAGTTTGAACCTACTGGGCTTTTTTACTGATTTTTTTTCCTTAATTTTTTTTTTACTGATTTGTTTCCTACTATTTAAACACAATGTTAACTGATTTTTTTTTTATTATTTGTGGTTATATTTCTGCTATTTGAATGTTTTTTTTTTTGTGGTTATATTTCTGATATTTAAATTCAATTAATCTGCTACGTACTTTTTTCCTCGAAATAAAATCATCTGTTCTTTTTCCTTTATCTGTGTTCTCCTGCAAACCATTTTGCGCTGTTATTCTTGTATATCCATCGCAGACTACTTTAAAATACTCTGTTATGCTTGTATATCCATCCCAAACTAGTTTAAATATAATTTGTATGTTTATAGATGGATGGAAATAATTCCGATGACAATGAGAACATCAAAATGTGGATGCCCAGAATTGAAACGAAATTAATAAATATGTTGAGTGATGAGGTTAGAAACAATCAAACAACGGGCCGTACTACTTCGTGGACAATTAGGCATTGGAATCATTATGCAAATCTGTAGACACCCCATTTTTGACCGACCTTAAGACTCAGACGTCACCGATTGAGCGCTTGGTGATGTTGCATATCGTGCTCGTTCAGAAGTTTCAGAGTCTCGGCTGTGAGCCTTGCCTCCGGACTTCTGGACTCTTTTGTGCTTTGCCTCGGTTTGCGAACCAAGCTCTGTTTTCTCTGTTTTCTCTTCCCGAAGGGAGGGAGAGGTCTCGTAGATCATCTCTCAGTGGCCGTAGGCTACGTTTCTTGGCCGTAGGTCATTTGCCCGTTTGGAGTCTGGTTTTCGATTTTTTCGGAGCCGTTGGCCGTGTGCCTCGATTCGGGACCGCTTAACCATCTCCGTTTGCTCTGGTTCTTGGCATGCGTCTTATTTGCTCCCTTTTAAGGGACACTGTGGTCCGAGAAACCGACTTCGGGGTCGAACACCACTCCCGGTGCCTAACAGTCAGTTTTCAGGGCCCCAAGCTGCGCGTTTCGGCCCCCGAATCTTCATTTTGCATCGGTTTTGGTTCGTTTTTGGCAGGGACCTCTGTTTCATCGGTAGGAAGGTCGTAGAAGGGTGGGAGGCCAGTAATTGTTCTGTCAGTGAACTTTATCCCTTCATCGCCCTCCGTCGCCCGATTTTTCTCACTTCAAAGCCAATGTTGACCACCCTTGGGCCATTTTCTTGCACCCTAAACCCCATATTTGTGATGTACACATCTGGGAGGCCACCAATATTTGGTGGCCGGCTAGTAATTGCTTTTGAACCTTTTGAACCCCTTTGAAAAGTGGGTTGTTCTCTCTCCTGGTTCATTATTTCCAGTGTTTAGCTACATGGTTGTGTTGTGCACACATCAGAGGCTCTCTTTTTGGGATGGCCGGCCACTAAAGCTTCTTGACCCTTTTGACCCCTAGCCGACCGGCCATGGGAGGTAGCCGACCGGCCACCTAAACCCTAGATAACTGGCCGGCCAGAATCCTTGCATCAAATACAGTGCAGATACACCCTTCTTTTCCCCCCAGATTCTGTATCCGGGGGGGGCAACTTTTGGAGGGAAACTTGGCTTCATTTCCCTCCATTTTTTCCCCCCTTTTTCCCCCCTCTTTGGCCTATATAACCAGCCTCCCAGCTCTGTAATAAGGGTTAGAAAAATTACCCTTGAGCTCCCATATTATACCTCTCTCCCTCTACACTTCTAAGCTTAAAACCTCTCAAGTCCTACACCCATTTCTTCACCAACCCATAGCCTCACCCTTCCATCCTCCATTCCAACAGCTTGAGGTTGTTCTTCAGACCCTAGGAGTGCTGCATTTTGGTCCAAAAGTTGTCAAAGGCATAGTCTTCAAGGGTGAGCTTCCTTTTTCCCTTTTCTAGCATTTTCTTGATTTATTTATAAGCCATACTTGCTTGCTTTTTTTGGCTCCGACCCTAACTGGAGATAGGCTTATTTTGAGCTTTTTTTCATGTTTTTTTAAGGGCTCATCACTGTTTGAGGCCTCCTTGTTGCACTTGCTTCATTACCTCCCTTGTATGCCATTTTCTTGTGTAGTATTTTTGGCCTATGTATAAATTTTTTTGAGGCATGTCATAAACTGTAGAGTAGCTTATTTTGAGCCCTTCTTCAACATTGTTGAAGGGCTCATCACTGTTTGAGGCTTACATTTGCCACTTGCCTTTATATCTCCCTTTTGGCTCCATTTTTGCATGATTTGTTAGCCTCTTATGCTTCTGTTTTTGGGCTTTGGTCCGAACTATAAATGACATTATTTTGACCCCCTATTCATGTTTCATTAAGGGTATTTTACTATTTGAGGCATCCTTGTTGTACTTTGTGTTATAGCTCTCTTTTTGGCCTTGTTTTGCATAGTATTTTGAGCATGCTTGTGCACTGTTTTGGGTCTGATCATAAACTGTAAAATGAAATATTTTGGGTCCCTCTTCCACATTGTAGAAGGGCCCTTCTCTGTTTTCGGTCAGAAGCTGTCACTTGCTTCATTTGCTTGCTTTCGGGGCCATTTTTGCATGCTAGTTTAGCCCCATTTGTGTTCATTGTTTGGTCTTGCTTAAAACTGTAAACATGCTTATTTTTGGATTTCCTTGAATCTGTATTCATGCTTCATGATCAAATAGTGCATGTTTTGTATAGCTATAGGCCATTGCGCATGCCTAATTTTGCATTTCGGGTACCATTTCATGCATCGGGTGCCATGTTTCCATGATTCGGGGCTGTTTTGCATCATATTTCACTTCTGAAATTTTCACATTTGCATACCATGTTCCATGCCTTGCCATGCTTTGGTAGAGTGGCATTTGTGCCTTAGGATCGGTCCTCGATTTGCGTGCACGTAGGCACGCATTTCGAGTTGTCTCATTCTCATCTCATGGCCTCTTATGTGAGTGTGGCTGAGGTCCACTCACATTGGTGTAAGTCCATCGTGCATTGTGTATGCCATTTCATTTCATAGCATTGTGTATGCTAGGTTGCATGTTAGCGCATTGTGTATGCCATGTTACCTCGTGCATCGTATATGCCATTTCATAGCATTGTGCATGCTAGGTTGTATATTAGTTGCATTCATGCATGTCATGCATATTGCATTGTGCTTGGGATAGGAGTTGGCCCAAGCACGGGAAACGAGGTACGTTTCGTACTCCGAGTGACGGAACGTGTCTCAATTCCCCAGTCACCAACACTCCGGATTATCCATGATGGAGTTAGGTTTTTGTTGTGTTTATGTGTGCATTCATTCTATATTGAATAATGCAAATCGATTCCTCGGCCATCATGCATCGATATGCGTGATTGGTGGCACGAGGATCGAGGCATGCGTACATCTATGAAAATACATTGCTATGCCCCTCTCCTGCCCTCTGTTGCAGCAAATCAAGAATCAGCAGTCTTCCGAGGCTTGGCGCGTTTTCCAAGAACCATTGCAAAACAGAGGCTAATTGGGGCATCACAGTGGATTTCCGCGCAAAGGCGACCCGGACATGCATCATCCATCATCTAAAGAAGAGTCAAGGCAGTCCCTGGCTTGCATGCCAGTTTATTATT